TACATTCAGCCACACCACAGTGACCCCGAAGCGATCTTCTTCTAGTTGCGGGACGAAATCCGATAGCCAATTGCTAGCTCTGAATAACCAGCCCAACAATAAGCTCAATTCTTCCATAACATAAGGGGCGGGCTTGCGCGCGAGCTGAATGACGTAGGTGCACAAGAGTACTTTGCGCCACAACCATCTTCTTTTTATAGGTTCTACGGACCGATGCCTGCTGCTTCATCTGGGAGAAAAGAATCATAGATATACCGGTANGAGCCGAATGACGTAGGTGCACAAGAGTACTTCGCGCCACAACCATCTCCTTTTTATAGGTTCTACGGACCGATGCCTGCTGCTTCATCTGGGAGAAAAGAATCATAGATATGCCGGTCATTAGAAGGAAGAACCGCCATAAAAAGATTCCTCGTGTATCATCTGTAGCAAAACTATGAACGGGAGCTAGCAATCCGGACCGTATTGAAAAGGTTCCTGAGACACAGCATGGAAAAGTAACAATATTAAGAAACGAGGTCCAAGAACGAAGAAGGGGTAGAATTACTGAATGAATACGAGCTGTGGCTAATACCCGAGGCATAAAAGAAGCATTTTCTACGGGATCTCGAAACCATCAGCCACCCCGACCTAATTCATGATGAGCCTACCAACTTCCTGGCAAAATGCCTATGGTTAAAAACCACCGATATGTTAAGATCCAAATTTGAATTGGTTTCTGGTCCTGGTCAGAGACCATTGTGTTCGCGCCGGCGGTCCAACAAAGAGGCGAAGTAGTGGTATCTTTCTTTCCATTACGAACGACACGCTTCGCCTGTTCCCTCCCCATGTCCATTAGCGCTCCTGTCCAGAGCGAAGAGAAGGCGAAAAAGCGCCGCCGAAGCAGCATAAAAAGGCTTCTATTGCTACGTAACAATAAAGCAGGATAGCATTTTGCGCCCACATGTTTTAATTTGAGGGTAAAGAGCTCGCTTGTTATACGGGATCCAACGCATCCAATAGAGCAAAACAGTGTTCCATTCTTTTTGACGGCATCCTTCCACATTGGCGCCGAGTGGAGTGCCACAATCCCATTCATCATTTTTGATCTACATAAGCCAAAGCCCATAGCACTGGCGACGTCTCCGGCATAAATGCAAGGAGGATGTATAGCTGATTAGGATCTTGTGGAACAGGATTTGATTCTGCAAACGGTTCAGTACAAACGAAGAAATCTCGAACAAAAGGGTCGGAACTCGCTGATAGGAAAGGAGAGAAAAACAAAGCAATGCTAAGAGCTCCGTCAATCCGCTGTTCATCGATAGACGAAGCTCTCTCTTTATCATCTCGTGCCAGATGTAACATCCTTTTTCCTTCTCACGAACCACGGGAGCGTCTTGAGCCTAGAGGAGTAAAGCTCATTTTCCTTTCAGGGTAAAGCGGCGCATAAAAAAGGGTTGGCCCGTCAAAAGTCCGGTTCCTTCGCGAACGAAGTTCAGAATCAACAATGGTTCGTAGAACAAAGGGAGTGTATAACTGGGGCGCATCCCCACTTTTTTGTTCGTAACGAGGGAGAGATAGAATGGAGTTCTTCACGAAGTTCGAAACAAAGAAATAAAAAAAGTTTCTCTATGGCCTCCTCGTTTTGAGACATTATGGCTTAGGGGTCGACCCTGGTAACAAAGAAGGAATCCATAAAAACTTAGGATCTGACACCATGATAAAATACTACCCTCATGATTGGACCATGTCCCTGAGATTTGATAAAAGAAAGGTGCATTAGCAGTTAATACATTGTAATTGGATAAGTTATTAGGAATATAACGGAACGAAAGACCAAGGAAAGAAAAAAGAATACACCAAAATGCAAGTGATGCACCAAACACTGGTGGTTGTTTCTTGTTGTAAGTGAATGCAATGAAAAGACACGTAAATAACGAATAATGAAACAATTCATATATTGACATTTCGTGCTCATTTCCAAATTTCTGCTTTGTCATTCCCATCATCTGGTAACCACAGGATGATCCACAAGAAAGGTGGTAGGATTCGAACCTATGGCCGGCCTGCCCCTGACCTGCTGGGTTGGGTGGCCGGGTTAGCACCCTTCGTCACCCCTGTACCCGAAACAGATGCGTTGTGCTACCCAGCACCTAACCTTGTCTTCCCTACTCCTCTTCTGGTTGTGCCATTACCAATCGCGGGTAACCCCCGGTCTGGCCGCCCTTAACCTAAGAAGAACTATTATCCTTATGACCAAACAAGGATCAGCTTCTTACTTCTCGAGCGATAGTTCCACGATCCCGACCAGCAACTTCTTGGGAGTACGGGCATCAAAGCTTGCCCAACCTAGTAAAGGGGCTTGGGGATAGAGGGTTTTCTGGGGGAGAGAAAGTTTCCAGGTTGAATTTTTTAGATCAAATAGTACTAGTTAGGTAGATAGAGGTGGTGAAATCTAACCTTTGGATCGATCTTCTTTAGCAGGGCGGGTCGCTTGAGTGTCAAAACCAAGCGGTGGTTGTTTTTCCTTGGCTTATCAAACCAGCGTATGCCTATTCCTCCTTTGATGACTCCCAGTAGAGAAAGACTAAATTTTTCGATGTGGATTGAAAGAATGTTGGGGATGGACATAGATCCTTCCGCCTATCCGGAGTGTTGGAAATATAGCAATGTTTTTTGTATTTTTTATTTCCCGATCATTGGAAGCAATCTTCACTGGCACAAGGATCTCCTCACAGCAACCTCCACTACGATAGAAACCGACAATGAGTTTATGAAGGCTGAGATTAGTGCGGGATAGGCTAATCACAACACTGCTCTGGAATAGGTTAATTGTTGGAGACAAGAACGAGTGAATCTAGTTTCGAGAGCATGACTTACTCTAATAGGGGGCGTAGAGTTTCTAAGTGAAGGCAAGCGCAACTATAAATGTAATATCCTAGCTCTCAGCAAGATAGGTCCGCTATAAAGCCTACCGGCCAGAAAGTCCTTAAGAACGAGAAAGCCAACTAAAAGGCTATTCCATAACCGACTCTTGTTACCGAGTCGAGGGGACTTGGCTGGTACCAGGCTCTAAAAGATTTTTCTTCAAGTGAGCGGTCTTTCTATCTTTTTGGATTGCATGCCCAAGGCAATGCTTTTTGTATATTGAGATGGATTGATCTTCGCTATTTGTGCCTCCTCCTTGTACCAGTTGATGCTTGGGCAATGCTTAATATGAGTTTTCTCCTGCCCCAGACAGCTTCGAGGTTCCCATCGATCGATTACAGAGGTTTCTACCACTAAACTTGCTTATGCTCCCCTTTGATCGAGTGCTATTTCTATAAAGAAGATTTAGTAGGAAAATGTTGAAATGGCTTCAATCGAGATTGCCTCAGCTTCTTAGGCACATGAGGAAGCGGCCTAACATCTTTTCAATCGAAATCCCAATCAAAGACAAGTTCTACCAAGGCTAGGATCTGAAAGTGTGGATTCACTTTTCGAAATTCCAAGTGACTTGATTCATCCTTCAGAAGCTAAAGTTGAATGATCGAAGTCTCCTTTAGGTTCAGTCGAAGAGATCGAAGCGAAGTCATTAATTCAACCATTCGAATGGTCTCCCCTAAGATTGACCTCTTATCCAAATAAACCGAACCTCGATACCACATTCATCAAAATGGTATGGCCATCTTTCTAGGTTGCACAACCCCTTTATATCGTTCTATTCGTGCTTGAAACACGACCCCATCGCTCCTTTTAATGGACATTCTTAGACGTCCTCTGATGGTTAACACCCCATAGATCAGATCGTGAACTCTTTCAGACCCTTAGTTTCACTTGGTTGGGGAAGAGTTTCAGCCTGCCTTCCACCGAATATAAAAAACCTTAGAGCTGCCTAACATGTTGACATCCCGGCGAAGAGAGTCATTATTTGTGTTACATCTTCGAATTCGAGAGAGGGCTTTCCTCTTATCTCTCAAACTATAGGCATTGAAGCGATCGAGGGAAAGTAAGAAATAAATACGGGGATTATGTATTAAAAACATTGGCGAATTATCATATTTAGCGCCATTTAAAATTAATCCGAATTATTATTATTATTTGGAAATATTGATAATTGTAGTTTATAATTTACGAATTCGGATTAACATGTTATATTGTGTAATTCGAAATAAATACAACGAGTATATATTTATAACTATAGTAATTGATCGTAATTAACAAGGAACTTGATTAATATTATGCACGGAAAACTATAATCGAAATCTNCCTCGTCCTGGGCCATCGCACGGAAAACTATAACCGAAATCCTTTTTATCTGGCATTAACTTGGAACCACGTGCATCTAAAGCACCTTTTACTAAGATCAATGTAGTTGTATGTAAACCAAGAGCAATAGCATGATGAACCAAAAAGTCTCCAGGACCTATTGTTAAAAATAATGAATTACTATTTTCATTAACAGCATTTAACCAACCCGGCAACCAGATGCTTCGACCCGCATTGAATGCTGGACCACTCGTTGAAGATAAAAGTACATCGAACCCATATGAAGTTTTACCATGAGCGGATTGTATCCATTGAGCAAATATAGGTTCAATCAAGATTTGCTTCTCCGGAGTGCCAAAGGCAAGCATGACATCATTATGAACATAAAGTCCCAGGGTATGGAATCCCAGAAAGAGGCTGGCCCAACTTAAATGAGATATGATAGCTTCTTTATGCTCTAACATTCTTGCCAATACATTATCTTCATTTTGCTCCGGATTGTAATCTCTAATGAAAAATATAGCTCCATGAGCAAAAGCTCCTGTCATGATGAATCCTGCGATATATTGGTGGTGGGTATATAATGCAGCTTGAGTAGTAAAGTCTTGTGCTATGAATGCATAAGCAGGTAAAGAGTACATGTGTTGAGCTACCAAAGAAGTAATAACCACTAAAGAAGCTAGAGCAAGGCCTAATTGAAAATGAAGCGAATTATTGATTGTGGGATAAAGACCCTTATGTCCACCCTCCAATCGTCCCCCCGGGGGAATATGTGCATCTAAAAGGTCTTTCATATTGTGCCCAATCCCGAAATTGGTTCTATACATATGACCAGCAACGAAAAAAATAAATGCAATAGCTAAATGGTGATGGGCAATATCAGTTAGCCATAAAATTTGCGTTTGTGGATCTAATTCAAAAATTTCACCCAATTGAGCACGTCTAGCATATTTTTTCACAGTAGCAGGATCACTATAACTGACGCCGTTGAGTTCACCGTCGTAGAACTCAATAGTTACACCTACTTGTTCAACACTATACTTCGATTCTACCCTTTTAAAAGGAACATCGGCTCTAACAATTCCATCGCCATCTACCAAAACGATCGAAAATGTTTCAAACAAAGTAGGCATACGACGTACAAAAAGTTCACGGCCTTCTTTATATCTAAAGATAGGGTGTCCTAACCATCCAACCGCTGTTCCATCCCCGTTATCCATTGAGCCCGCTCTGAATAATCCCCCTTTTGCCAGATTATTGCTGATGTAATCATAAAAAGCTAATTTTTCAGGAATTTTAGACCAACCTTCTGATAAACTTTGATTTTTTGCTAGCCCAGCACTAACTCTTTGATATATTTCTAGCTGGAAGTACCCCTGATCTCATTGGTAACGAGAGGGCCCAAATAATTCAATCGGGGTTGTTGCTGAACCATACCACATAGTTCCGGCAACAACAAAAGCTGCAAAAAAGACAGCAGCGATACTACTGGAAAGGACGGTTTCAATATTTCCCATACGCAATCCTTTGTATAGATAAAGAATTCTTTCTAAACCAACATAAACCTTATGAAAGTTTGGCCCATTTTTTTCAACATGCCAATATTGGCACTAATGGTACGTAAATGCAACTCGTTGTTCAAACAACTAGTCAGAGTTCCTAGAGCTCCTCGTAAGGCTTGTTGGAAAACCCGTTGTCATACTTGATTAATCCCCCTTTGCTGTTCAAACTGAATCGTTTCGTTTTTGTAATTTTCTAATTGTTCCAAAGTCTTACAAGTTGAATTAATCAAATTCGTTCTATTTCAGAGTATCCATTCACTCGAAACTGCTCGGCTTCGCTTTCTACTTTCCGTAAGCGAGAATGAGCTTTTTCGATATTAGTAATATAATTTTTAAATTAATAATAATAGTTTAATTATTAAGAAGTACCATATTAATCAATTCCAATGTAAAAGATTGGAATAAATCCAATCACATAGTTTGGGCTCCTAGAATATGGCGCCCTTGGGGCTTTCTATTTGATTGTATCGAAAGGCCCAATGAATTGGGATTTCCCTATTGGTCCAGGTCATTTCGGGGAAAGCGGATCATTTATGATGAAGAGGATGAGCTGCAAGAGAATGATTCGGAGTTCTTGCATAGTGGAACCATGTAGTACCAGACACGAGATAGATCTTCCAAAGAACAAGGCCTTTTTCGAATAAGCCAATTCATTTGGGACCATGCAGATCCACTCTTTTTCCTATTCAAAGATCAGCCCTCTGGCTCTGTGTTTTCATATCGAGAATTATTTGCAGATGAAGAGATGTCAAAGGGGCTTCTTACTTCCCAAACAGACCCTCCTACATCTATATATAAACGCTGGTTTATCAAGAATACGCAAGAAAAGCACTTCGAATTGTTGATTAATCGTCAGAGATGGCTTAGAACCAACAGTTCATTATCTAATGGATCTTTCCGTTCTAATACTCTATCCGAGAGTTATCAGTATTTATCAAATCTGTTCCTATCTAACGGAACGCTATTGGATCAAATGACAAAGACATTGTTGAGAAAAAGATGGCTTTTCCCGGATGAAATGAAAATTGGATTCATGTAACAGGAGAAAGATTTCCCATTCCTTAGCCGGAAAGATATGTGGCCATGAAAGAGGGATTAAGTGGAACAGAATTGACTGGGTGGTAGAGTCGTGGAAACGCTTGTTTCTTCCATATTTTGGACCTTAGCTCCATGGAAGAATATGTTACTGCTGAAACACGGAAGAATTGAAATCTTAGATCAAAACACTATGTATGGATGGTATGAACTGCCTAAACAAGAATTCTTGAACAGCAAACAACCAGTTCAGATATTCACGACCAAGAAGTACTGGATTCTCTTTCGGATAGGCCCTGAAAGGAGAAAGAAGGCTGGAATGCCAACAGGCGTCTATTATATTGAATTTACCCGATAGTCCCCATTTTAGGAACGTCTAGTGCCAAAGTCACTGAATGGGTAAGTCGCCAATCCCTGGACTATGTAATGTACTTTATCTACTAGGTTACGGGCGGACATTTTACCAAAGGTTTCTAATCTACCCTTGTGTGATTCCTGTTAAAGCATATACTCGGGGGGGANTGAAGCATATACTCGGGGGGTGGGTGCAGGGCGGACGATTTTAAAGCGGACTCCCCATTCATTAGATAGAGAAGATCACTAAGATTTCGCGATCCGCTGTAGAATTTATTCCAATTCCAAGAGCTCGGATCGAATCGGTATATCAATACAAATTCGATCCGAGCTCTCTTATTGAGAATGCTCATTCAATGAGCATTCTCAATATTATGCCTT